CTCTCTCTCCTTTACTCACCCTGTGTTGCTCAATCAGCATGTGCACAGTGTCCAGGTCTCCCATGACGGGCGCCTCCTGGTCCAGCGCCGCCTCCGCCTTGTGCAGCCATTCCAGCAGACTGACCAGGGCGTCCGACACCCGGCCACTCGTCAGCAGCGCCTCGTCCAGCTTGTTTTGGCTGAAAGATAAGGACAAACCACAGTGGTGATGGTCATTAGGCCCGGAAAGGGGAAAAAAAGTCTCACAAAAAAAGAGACCGGAATGCTTCTTCTCTCTCCTCTGCTAAAGCTCAGAGAGAGAGAGAGAGAGAGAGAGAGAGAGAGAGAGAGAGAGAGAGAGAGAAAGAGGGGGGAGAGAGAAGAGAGAGGGGGAAAAGAGGAGGAGGATAATGAAAAGGAGAAAGATTAAGAGGAAGAGGAGGAGGAGGAGAGGGAGAGGGAAGGGGAGAGGGGGGGGGAAGGGGAGAGAGAGAGACAGACAGAAAGACAGACAGACAAACAAAGATACAAGCAGACAGACAGACAAACAAAAAGACAAGCAGACAGACAGACATTCTTGGTATCTTCTCTGAAAGCACGCCGAGAATCGGTTTCTCTGATTAAAAAAAAACCCCAACAGAAATACTTCGTCAACACATCGAGGCGTCAAATTCTTGAAAACAAAACAATAGGAACAAACATACACATTGACATGCCATCCGCACTTTGAGTTTCTCCTCGGGGCAACAGACAGAAACGACATGCAGACTACGTAAAACGACAAATAAAATGACAAGATTTTTCGGATCTGGATCACACTACAGGCAAACATCACCACAGACAAACAGTCCGCAGACATAGCAGTGATGCTGATTACTGCACGGCTAAATCTGGACAATAAACAAGAAAAACATCAAACATGTACAAGGGGGCAAACGCTCGCCCGTTTAGCAAACACTGGCATTCAGATTTTGGCGTGGGAATCTTGGGGGGAGGGAGTGCCTATGTGTGCTCATGCACGAGTATGCAATTGTGAGTGAGCTTGAGTGTGTGTGTATGTGCTGTGTGTATGTGTGTGTTTGGGCGCACACTTGACACACAGAAACCAAGCAAACAGAATGAGGGTAGTATGAAGTGAGGCAAATAGGGCGTAGGGAAGGAGTGAAAGAAAGACAGAAGAAATCTGGTGACGAGGAGAGAGGGAGAGAGAAAGAGAGAGACAAACACACACACACAGAGAGAGAGAGAGAGAGAGAGAGAGAGAGA